CTCTCTCAGCCTGTCCTCACAGCAGAGCTGCTCCAGCCCTCGCATCATCCTCGTGGCCCCCTCTGGACTGGCTCCAGTAGCTCCATGTCCTTCTGCTGTTGGTGGCCCCAGCACTGGAGGCAGCACTGCAGGTGGGGCCTCAGGAGAGCGGAGCAGAGGGGCAGAATCCCCTCCCTCCACCTGCTGCCCACGCTGCTCTGGGTGCAGCCCAGGACACGGTTATTGGCCTCTGTGCTGCCAGCGCACGTTGCCGGCTCATGTTGAGCTTCTCGTCCCCCAGCACCCCAAGTCCTTCTCCTCAGGGCTGCTTGTGGTTTAAATACAAATACTGTTTTTACCTTGCTTAAAATAGGAAGAAATTCTCTTTTCTATACCTATGTATATGAACAGTACATGTCTGGTCCTATATCTATTTATCTATCCACAGAGATAGAGAGATAAAATCACAGGTTCAGAGGGAACCTGCAAGAGAGAAGCTGCTGGTTGGGTGTAGAAGCTGCAGTGCCTGGCAGCCCGCAGCAGCAGATGCATGCAGCCGATGGGGCGGCTGCTTCCTGAGCAGTCTTACTTGGTGCAGTCCAGGATTCCTGAGTAGGTGTCCTCGTTCACTCCTCTCTGCAAGGACTGCAGCCGCGTTTTGATCACTGGGGAAAAAGAGAAGAGAGACAGTGGTGAGCACTGGGAATGTAGCATGCTCTTCAGCAGGCGAGAGCCATCCTGAGAGTCCTGTCTTTGAAACACAGCCAAAATGAGATCACCAAGAACACAGACCACTTTCATATATTTATCAGCAAGACATGGGAAAACAAACCCATTCCTTTACAAAAGGATAAAAGAAAAACACAGCCACTCAAAACCCAACTCCTTCACATCACTGTGACCAAGGTGACCAAGGTTTCCAAGCCTGACTAAAGCTTTAAACACTTCCAAATTCAAGTATCTTTCTGCAAATTTGGAACTGATTTTCACTCAGCTCCTTCTGGAAGAAGTACCTAAAATATACAATGGTGCTCTCATATTTCTTCACACCTCGAAGCATGTGCAGTGTTGGGGAGAGAGGAGTTACTTTCTGGTGTTTTTCAGAGCAGAGAAACCAAGGTGGTACCTAAGGCAGATGCTGCGGAGCAGGAGAAAAGGCCACAGATCTCAGGCTCCTCCTGCTTGTTGATGTAAACTGTCTGCATACGATCACTCCACATGGAAGTGTGCCTTTCCAGGGGCATGTTACAAGTGACAGGACAAGAGGAAATAGCCTTAAGTTGTGCCAGGGGAGGTTTAGATTGGATATTAGGAAAAAAATTCTTCACTCAAAGGTTGTTAAGCATTGGAACGGGCTGCTCAGGTGAGTGGTAGAGTCCCCATCCCTGGAGGGACTGAAAAGCTGTGTAGATGTGGTGCTCAGGGACATGGTTTAGTGGTGGACTTGGCAGTGTTTGGTTTACAGTTGGACTCAATGATCTTAAAGGTCTTTTCCAAACAAAACAATTCTGTGATTCCGTGTTCACAGCCATTCCTTTGAAGAATGACACCCTCTTCCTGATGCGCCTAATGAGCGCTGCAAACCTCTGGGGAAGCTGTGCCAAAGGTGTAGCTCAGCTGAAGGAAACATCACCCGAGCAGAGCTCCCCTCTGTACTTCTCTGTGAGCCCATGCTACAAAGAGGCTGGCATCGTCACCCCCCTCATCACCTAGCCCACTCGTGGGCCTCCGACTCCTGTCACCAGGCCACCAGCACAGGACTCACCATCACAAGGATTGACAGCCACCGCAGCTGTACTGCCAGCCACGCATCCGGAGAGAAAGGACACGTAGAACGGAGCCTTGGCATTGGGGTCCTTCTGGCCCAGCTTGTTCAGGTTTGCAAACAGTGGGAAGTAAACAATGGAGAATGGGACATCCCTGCGGTGAGAGGAAGAACAAGGATGAGCAAAGTCAGAGCGGGACACCAGCAAACTGAGCATCAAAGGGCTGGCTGCAAGCACCACGGGTCGGCAGCGCAGCCACGAGCGCGACGCAGACAGCCCAGCTCTGCAACTGCAACACGGACTGGAGCCCAAACTCAGCTGGGGCAAAACTGATGCCACAGAGGACAAGAGGCCCACAGGAGACACGCAGCCCCGCAGGGTCAGTGGCTTCCCCCTGATTTTTCAACACTCAAACTGAAGACCCCAGCACGTTCACAGGTCAATAATTTTGTCCATTTTTGTTAATTACAAGAGGTTCACATCCCATCCCTCATCCCACTGGGTGCTGCTTTAGCTGTGTCTTTGTTAAAGCGAGAGAAGAGTCACTCTGTGAAAGCCCCTCAGAGGGGAGACTGGTCCTTGAATCCAACGTGAAGCAGAACCCATTTCACACTCTGGAGAGTCAAACTGACAGTTTTGCTTTGCTGGCTCACAAGGACTTCTCCACAGTGTTAAAATATGGACCATGGAGAAAACAAAAACCTTCCAGAGAAAGCAGCAGAACTAAATCTTCTGGGAACAAAACGGCAGCCTCCCTCACTTCCCTGACCTTCCCTTCTTTAATGCGCGAAACCTGCGCGTTCAAACCACACCACACCAAAACAAACCACACCAAACCCCCTGAAGCCAACACCCTCTTTGCAGGCTCATCTCCTGGATGGCTGTTGCTTTAGGTTCAAGACTGGGAACACTGGTGCCCTGTGCTCGAGCCATCCTACCTTAGCAGTGTGGCTCCCAGGCCCTTGTAGAGTCCCGCGATGCCTTTGCTCCGCAGCAGCTCCCTCGTTATCTGTGTCGCTGTGGTGCGCGTTTCCACGGCTGGCCCCGCTGCTCCCACTCCCGCGGCAGAGGAAGAGGAAGAGGAGAGCTGGGCCTGCGCTGCCATCAGCTTCTTCTGTGCCGCTGGGGAGAAGCAGAGAGAGCAAGATGCTCAATGGCAGTCTCTTGCTGCCCGGTGCCACAGGTCAAGGAGGAAGAGGCACATCTCCAGGTGCACCAAAACACGCAGACTAAGGTGCCCCGCAAGCTTCTGCTCCCAGTCTGTCCCTCTCCCTCGGCCTGAGACAACTCAGCTCACCCCAGTCTCGGAGCTGGCTGCTGCCCCACCACAACACCGTTTGCTGCACTCTCCTCTCCTGCTGACTGGTTTTACTGAAGCAGGAGCAGCCTGTCACACCCAGCCCCTGCAGTGCAGAGAAAAGGAGCTGCCCTGAGCTGGCAGATGCCAGCACTGGCTTCCAGCTGCATCCCTGAGCCCCTGGTAGGACAAACTAAAGATATTTTAAAAAGAGAGAGGTTCAACAGTTCTGTTCTTTGCTTCACAGAATCCCAGAACTGCCTCGATTGGAAAAGCCCTTTAAGATCACTGAGTCCAATCATGAACACAACACTGACGCGTCCCCACTAACCCATGTCCCTCAGCACTATGTCTACACGACTCTTCAATCCCTCCAGGGATGGGGACTCCACCACTGCCCTGGGCAACCCCTTCCAATGCCTCAGAACCCTTTCAGCAAAGAAATTCTTCCTCACATCCCATCTCAACTGCCCTGGCCACAACTGGAGCCCATTTCCTCTTGTCCTGTCCCTTGGTCCTTGGTTGAACAGACCCACCCCCACCTCTCTCCACCCTCCTCCAAGGGACTTGGACAGAGCCAGAAAGTCTCCCCTCAGCCTCCTTTTCTCCAGGCTCAACAACCCCAGTTCCCTCAGCTGGGAACTCAGCACACTTGTGCTCCAGACCCTTCCCCAGCTCCGCTGCCCTTCTCTGGACACGCTCCAGCACCTCCATGTCCTTCTTGTACTGAGAGGCCCAAAACTTCCTTCCCTTGAAAGCATTCATTAACTTGAGGAGTTCCTCAGCCACATTTATAAATGCAGTTTGGTTTCTCCCAACTTTTTCAAACGTGCAGTTCTGCTCTTTGGCCAGAAGATGGAGAGCACATCAACCTGCAGTCAATCCTCTGGTTGCCACCAGATGATTGACACACCACAGGTCTCTTGCCACACAGAGAACAGGCTACTCACAGCAGCAAAAATCTCTTCTGAACCCTCAAACCATGGCTTTAATTAATTCAACCATTTTTAAATCATACACACAAAGAGGGCAAGGTCTGCATTAAAAACAGCAAAGAAAGAAAAGGTAAATCCGTGATTATTCAGGGATGCCACATCAAAGTAGAGATTAAAGGACACATTGGTCCATTTTCCAGGAAGGGCCACAAACTGGTATTTAACAGCGTCTTGCAGGGCTCCTGGGGATCGAGGCCATACCCTGGGCTGACCTCTGGAAGAGATGCACCTCCACAGCTCTTTCCCCCAGAGTCTCTGCGCCAGACTCTGGTCTCTGTTCTCATCCGAAATGCCCCACAGCATTTCAGTCAAAAGGCTTGCGCTCCCTCCTGCCTCTGCCTGCCAGCTCCTGCACACAGCCCTGACCCCAAACCTCTTCCAAATATAGTGTGCCAGGAGAATTTTATTTATTGTTTCAGCCAAGACAACTGTTGCTTTTGTTAGGAGGAAAAAAAAGAGAGTAAGAGGAGAGACAAGTAATTTGGAAAGGACACGTCCCCTTGGGAAGCTGCTAGGGAGGTGCTACAGAGGGGCAGAGGAGGGAGAACAGACATCAGAAAACATGGAGATCGAGAAAGCACCCCAGGAAAAGCACTGGAGGATGCTAATCCCTTCTTGGGTGCACAGGAACAAGCAAGTTTTAATCATTCCCAAGCTGACCACCCAGTCATCTCTCCTGCCTCTCTCCACCCACCAGCAGCATTTGCTGTTTCACTTATTGCTTTGAGGCAAAAAAAAATCATCACCTTTTGTAACTGCAAGGGCCTCTGCAAAGCCAGGTGAGCAAAGAGTGGGGGGAAATGAGCTGGGAAGAGGAGGAGAAACTTATCATAGAATCATAGAATGGTTTGGGTTGGAAGGGACCTTAAAGCTCATCCAGTCCCAACCCCCCTGCCAGCAGCAGGGACACCTTCCACTAGACCAGGTTGCTCAAAGCCTCATCCAACCTGGCCTTCAACACTTCCAGGGAGGAACAGCCACAGCTTCTCTGGCCAACCTGTTCCAGTGTCTGACCACCCTCACAGTGAAGAACTTCTTCCTAATATCTCATCTAAACCTCTCCTCTTTCAGCTTAAAGCCATTTCCCCTTGTTTTGTCATTAACTGCCCTTATGAAAAGTCCTTCCCCAGCTTTCTTGTAGCCCCTTCAGGTATTGGAAAGCTGCTATGAGATCACTGCTACAGCCTGAGATACCTCAGACTTGGAGAGCAAGGGCAAGGAAAAGGTTTTTCTCCGCTCATTCTTCCCCTCTGCCCTGACAGCCCCATCCCAGCCCTTTCCCCACTGCCAGCTCAGCGCTCAGGGAAGAGAAGCCCGCGTACCAATTCGCCCCGCATCCTGCAGCTGGATTTTGAGCATCTCCATGGGAGTGGTGACAATCACCTGGCAGGTACCCGCGCCGCAGCGCGCCAGCATCTCCCTCAGCAGCGTCAGCTTCTTCCTGCCCAAAGAAAAGAGAGAAAGAGTCAGTCAGAGGAGGTGGCCTGGAGTAACAGCGGGGTAGCGGGGTGCAGGGGCTTGGGGCACAGCTCTGACCCTGGGGGTTACGGGAGAGGCAGCCCAGGGGATGGGGGAACCTGCTCAGCTTGACAGTTCAGCACAGCCCAGGCTTGGCATCTCTGCCAGCATCACCTGATCTGAAGGAAAAGACCCATTTTGGCCCCACAAACAGAATGTTCAAAAAAAGCCACAAGCCCTGTCAGAACAGCCCCAGATGAGAGCACACGACCCTCTCCATCCCCAGACCAAGAGCTACAGCTCCCTTCCAGCCCACCGCTGCCCCAAGCCAGGGGACAGCCTTCGGAAAGGGTATCGCTTCGGAGGGCAGCAGAGGACCTGAGCATTAAGGGGATAAGCAGTTTTCCTCTGCCAGCCTAGTCCTTTAAATACCATCAACAACCCCCCAGAGATCACAGGGAAAGGAGCAAGGAGGAAAAATATTGGAGTTACTGCTTTAGAGTTCTCTGACAAAAGCAAAATTAAAGATAAAACAGTGAATATGTGGGTCAGGGAGGCAGTTCCCCTGTGGTCAGGAGCTTCTTCATCTCACCAGCCTTTCCAAACCTGAAAAAGCAGCCTTTGCACTGGTCCTGCCTGAGGGACAAGGGATGGGATGGACACCCAGCACTGCAGCTTTGTGCACCCCACTGGAGAGCGGGGATTATCAGCAACATGTTCTTGCCTAACCAAATGCAGCATTTCATAGCTCACTCCACTTCAAAGCCATGAAACAGCCCAGTTAAGGCTAAAATGATGAACTCTGAATGCAAATATTCAGAAAGCCTCAATTTTCAGAAACTGATGAGTTTGTGCCCTGTAAAAAAATCTCACCCCATGGCACCAGAAAAAGAGACTTGCTTAATTAATAAATAAATAAATAAATAAACAAAGTGCCTCCGATCCTCTGATCTGCTCTTTTCTAAAAAGGGGGGGGGGGAATCATATATAAATCACACAGCCAGAGGGAAACAGGCTCCTCTTTTTTCTGCTTTAAATGCAAGTACTATTTTTACTCCCCCCAGCCCTGCTCCTGCAGCAATAACTCATCTTAATCTGCTGAAGGCGAGTCCTCACACTATGGCAAAGCAGCCCCACCATTGTGGGGGGGGGCTATCACATGCCCTATGCCCTGCTACACCAATCCACGCTCCCACACCGGGGGTTTCACATGGACACACAGCAGAGCTGTGGCACTGAGGGCCACCAAAGAAATTCCAACACCAACCCGACAGGAAACGGGGGGGAGATCCCCTGTAATCCTGCTGGCCCACCACATCAGCCGGCCTGATTCCTCCACCTCTCATCTTCTCCAGGGAGGATCTCGGAGCAGGGGATTAGAGGCACAGAGCCACAGTGGAGATTACCAGTGACTAAATATAGAGCCCTCCTGTGAGACTGAAGGGAGGAACATTTCACGGTCTCCTCTTTCCAAATTCCCCCAGAGATGAAAAGCTGCGAAGAACAAGCCCTCCCGCGGAGTTACCCGCTCGGGCGTGGTGTGCACAGCGAGCTCTCCTGGGGGTGCGCAGATACTGGGGTGTGCAAATCCAGAGGTCCCCCCTGATACTGACACCTGGAAGGAGCCAATTTTGGGCAGCCTGAAGCACAGCAGCAGTCTCTGCGTGGCTCGATCCAGGCAGCAGCAAGGCTGCCCAGCCATGGGAGGAAGCAAAGCACCCAGAGGAGCTGCTGCCAGTCCCCCTCTATGACAAAGCAGAGTATCTCCCGCTTCAGCAAGAGCCCTGGAGCACCCCTGGAGTACATGTCTCCTGGCTTTCACCCAGGGCAACCACTTTGATATCCAAATCAGGAAGATTTGCCCTACACGTCCATCTGTGGACCATTATCCCAGCCAACCAAAGCCAGCCTGGCTTGACTCAACTCCATGGAGCTATGCCAGAGCGACCCTGTGAAGGATTTATGTGTGTGGGTATATTTTAGAGATGTCAAACAAGTCCATTAAAAGCATCTAGAACAAGGGCTTTCAGCTTTTGGTTTGCATATCTTGGGAACTGGGGTGAGTGCAAGAAAAAAAACAGCCTAAAATAAGCAAATCTTCTTAAAATTTGCCGTACAGGGGTCAGGCTCCCTGTGCAAACCCTCACCAGTCTGCACATAAAAGGAGTCTGAATACAGATCATCTTGAGATGACCAAGGGGTTTAAATATCGAAGGCACCAGAGGCTTCAAAAACTGGCACATCTCAACTAACTTCAAAAGCTGCAACACCAGCAAGGATTTGATCCTACAAATGCAGAAACCATCTTTTACCACAGCAAGAGGGTGTTACATGTAACATCCACACAACAGCCCCAAATTCTGCACTGGCAGAGATCAGTCATCTCACTTTTTTAAATGACATGTAATTAATTAGTGACAAATCAACAATGTCAAGTGGGAAGAGGAGAAGATTCATGCTCGATCTAAATTAAAAGTTTCAAACTAGAGCTGAAAGATAAGAAAGTCAAAAAGCAGGAACTAGGAGGTTTATGGAGGGCTTTTCAAGAGCAACGCATCAGTCCAAGGTTAGGATCTCCAAAAGCGTTGGTATATTGACATCACATGGGAGCAGAGCTGGATTTTTTTCAAGTTTCTGAAAAATCTTGACTGTGTGAGAGTTAACTGTGCTTGGGTAGGGCCCAAATCCAGCCATTCTGGAATAAGGATGATGAGATTTCCAAAGACAGGAAATCTTTGACCTAAGGAAACATCCATATAAAGCCATATATTTGCTACCTAAGAGGTTACTGTCCCCAGCTAGGACACCACCTTCCTCACTCAGAAAATAACCTCTGCCTCCGGTCTGTCAACCCAACAGACTGTAGAAAGCTCTGCAAGAGTGTCAAACCAGAGAGAGTCAGCTGCTTCCAAACAATTTAAATTGTGGCTCTTTGATATTGGCCTTTCGATACTTGGACAGGCTCCTACAAGAAAGATGGGGACAGACTTGTCAGTGTTGGGTTCATGGTTGGACTCGATGACCCTAAAGGGCTTTTCCAATCCAGGCAATGCTGGGATTCTGTGGTGCAACCCTGGCCCAGGTTGCCCAGAGAGGTGGTAGAAGCCCCATCCCTGGAAACATTCCAGGTCAGGTTGGACGGGGCTCTGAGCAACCTGATCTGGTTGAAGATGTCCCTGCTCACTGCAGGGGGGTTGGACTAGATAATCTTTAAAGGTCCCTTCCAACCCAAATCAGTCTGTGATTCTATGATAGGGATCAGGGTACCAATAACACAGGAGTTGTCCTTCGAACTGGAGGACAACTTGTCTGCCACAGCCCCACAGTGTCAACTGACAGTGATTTCCTTTAACCCAACCCCTGATCTTCCAAGAGGGAACAACAAGCTCTTGCAACCACACTTCAGGAAAGCTGGAGCTCTGATGCTATGATAACCCATCACAAACTCCTCCTCACTTCTCATGCCAGCTCAAAAAATGCCTCAGACAAACAAAACAATACACTGACGTGGGACAGATCCACCTCAAAGTAATGTCACCAGACTACAGGTTGCTCTGGCAGACAGGTATGCTGCAACCTACCTCTGGCTGCAGGAGCTGTGTCAAATGTTTGGACTAAGCCCAAAGAGGAAGGTGACTCTGTGCCTGCACCCATGACATCAGGTTTGCCCTGGCAGGAGATCCCAAGTGGTTTGTTTCAATACCAAAGTCTGTGGAAGTGAACAATGGAGAGGACAACAGGTCTGGGCATGCTGAACGCAGACACAACCCGTGTTTTGTCCCAAGACATGCACCTGGAATGGAAACAAGGCCAATGCTCCTCTCATAGGTGTATTCTGTGACTGACCAGCCCATCTCCAGCTCCCTCTGGATTAACAGTTGAGAGTACATTTCATTTCTGTCTGACCTTCGATGTCTACAGCTCCAACCCACTGTAATTCCCTGAGCCTCTGTGTGCTAAATAAAAGAGCCTTCCCCCAGCATAGCTATCCCTGAACGGGCACAGCGAGGTTATCACTGGCTCCTTCTCTAGGGGAAGGGCTGGATTGCCCCACCTACAAGTCCCGGTGGGTTGGATGAGGGTTATCAGCATCAAAGAAGTGTCTGGACATCCAGTGGATAACTACAGGAGAGGCTGGCTTGGGCCACAAGGGTTCCTGCCCAGAGAAAGACCAAAGCAGAGTGTGTGCAAGGTGACACAGCAGCTCAGCACCAGGACTAGCAGCAGCATCCCTCCTTCCTGAAGCAAGAGCTTCACTTCACAGCCTGGGCATGAGCATTCTGCAGCTCAAGGATCAACCAGGCCATGCAACGGCCACGTAAACAGATGCTACAGAAGAGGTGGTCTGAGTGTGTTAGGAGAGCCTGAAAGAGAAGCAGGTGAAGGAAGGAGCCCTGGGGAGACCTATCAGCTGGGAAGGCACCAGAGAACAAGCTCCAGTCTCCACATCTGCATGGGAGAGAAGGAAAAACACCCTGCTTCTCTCGGGATTACACTTGGCCATTGCTCTTCCCTGAGCAAAGCTACAAGGCAGGGGGAAGCAGAAAGGAAGAAAATTGGCTGGCGTCAGCAAAGACACAATTATTACAATTGTGCTGGTCAGCTTAGGAATCCCAGCTGCTAAGTCAGCAGATTGCCAGCCTTTGCTTCAGAACAGCCAACAAAATGAAGGTCAAGATTAAAGAGAACAGGAGAGGTGAAGGAATAACACATCTTGGAGAAGAGCAGCAGGAAACTCAACCAGAGACATTGGAGTGCTTTTATGAGCAAGAAATAGCTTTTATAAGAAGCCATGAGACACGTTTTACCAGAGCCAAGGCAGAGTATCTGACCAAGAACCTGAAAAATGAACAACACAACCTGGCAAACACATGCCAAACACACCACCTGCCTGGCACTCAACACTCTGGAGAGAAACATGAAACCTTGTAGGACACTTTAAAGGGACTGGTTTTTATGAAGTGTTTTACACCCTAATTCAAAGAGGACATAAAAAGTAAGAAATACCTATATCTATCAAAGAGGCCTCACACACTGAGCACCCAAAAATCAACAATGTACTTCAAACTCATGCTGCTGCACTACTGATTTCAATCACTTTCTTAGCTTCATACCCAAGTGCTTCACTTAGCCACACTGACTCTTCTTCCCACATCCTCTGCTCTTGACAATGAAGCTGCTTCTATTTTCACAGCAGGTGTAAGATTCTGGGTCTCTCAACACATCCAGCTTCAGAAATCCAGAAGAAAAAAAAAAAATCCCATCTGCTTCCAGCAGTCTGAAAGTTGGAAGTTTCTCCTCCCTCTCATGTCCTGCCCTTCCCAGATGTGTGGTCCAGCCAGGACAGAGCCACAGGAACAAGGACCTGCCTGAATTCAGACTCTTCTGTGAGTCACCTCTTCTACTTCTTCTCCTGGGAACAGCAGAGGACCTCAGGCCAAAATCATCACAGGACCATGTTTGACCCTTATTGCCTTTCTCAATCAGGGTCATGGAGTGCTCTTCAGGTTTTTCCCTATCTTGGTTTTCCTCCTTCCTTCTATGGTGCAGCAAGGGGGTTTCCAGCACTGACACAACTCATCCCAGCCTCTCTAGTTCCTAAATGACAGGACAGCTTGGGAGGACCAATACAGTTTTGTTTCCTCATGAAACAAGAAGCTGTAGCAGTAGGCTGTCATAATGGTCTCAACATCAAAATAGAAACAGGCAAAGAAACAGAAATTATGTCACTTAGCCTGTGAGCACACATCCTTCCTGCAGCAAACGGAGGGGAAAGGCATTGTAAGGGCAGGAGTGCTCCTGAAGCTAGTCCAAGGATGGAGAGGGCTGCAAGAACAGACATCTCCAGACTCGGAGATAGGTGCACCAACACGGGTGTGAGGTCCCACCTGAGGTCCTGCTGCCTCAGTACTCTATCTCCAGCAGGATTCAAGAACACGCCAGGGAAAAGGGAGTCTAGCACAAACCTGCAGTGATACATCCCCAAAATACTCCTCCAGGAATTTGCAGCCAAGAGCTTCCTACACCACAGATGTTTTGGTCTGGCCTTTCAAAAACAGGCTTCATGCCACTTTTTTTCCTAGCAGTTTAAAAGCAACTTCAATTCACAGAATCACACACAGAATCACCTGGATTGGAAATGACCTTTAAGATCATCAAGTCCAACCATGAACCCAACACTGACAAGTCCCCGACTAACCCATGTCCCTAAGCAAGGGAGTTTAGATTGGATAGTAGGAAGAATTTCTTCACCAAAAGGGTTGTCAAGCATTGGAACAGGCTGCCCAGGGAAGTAGTGGAGTCACCATCCCTGGAGGTTTTTGAAAGACACATATATATGGTGCTTAGGGACATGGTTTAGTGGGGGGCTTGGCAGTGTTAGGTTTACGGTTGGACTCGATGATCTTAAAGGTCTTTTCCAACCAAAACGACTCTATGATTCTGCGTTTTAATGGCTGGAACATCACAGCAGCGACTGCTTTCACAGAACACCAAATATGTTGCAATGCTGGTCTGATTCTTGCATGGGCCACTCTCTCAGTGGTGGTACAAGCCATGGCAACTCGGCACCTTCTTCTTCCCTGTACAACCTACTCAGCCCTCATTTCCTAGGTGGTGGCCAAAACCAAGCTGTGCTCCTGTCTATCGCAGTACGCCAGGGCCTGCCATGTTTTCTGCTGCAGGGATCAGGCCCACCACTTGGTAGGAGGGAGGAACAATGGGGACATCATTACTTACCACTGTCTGAGCAGAGCACAGAAGAGACACTATTTGAAGAGACAGAAAAATCACAAAGAGCTGTGAGACGATGAGTCACACAGACATATGTTAGCTGCTACTTTAAAGGAGTCCAGAACAAAAAAAATCAGGTACATGAGAAAACCAGATCCTCAACCTGTGTCAGTCCACAATCTCCACTGAAGCTGTTGAGCCACTGATCTGCAGCAGCCAAGACTGACATAAGTTATGGGAAGTTGTTAAACAAATAATGGCAGAGCTTTGCATTTTCAGCGAGGCTCCACGCCATCCCTGCTGATGGGAAGAGGTCAGGATCACATCCCAAGCAAGTTGGTTTTTTAACTACTGTCACTGAAGACTAGAGACAGTGCCCTTCTCAGGTTGTCTCTGCAGAAAGGTCTCGGTCTGAAGGGAGAGACAAGTGTTCTCCAAATTGCAAGGGAAATATCTTGGTGAAAACAGTATTAAATATTCAGGGTCCAGCTCCTCTCAACATCTTTTTCTCACATTTAATTCACATGAACCAACCCCCACTTCAAGCTAAACAGGTTATTTTATTCCTTCAGCATTTATTTGCAAGGCAGCTGCTGGGCAATGGTGCAAGCACCCTTTGGCAGTTCAGATTCACCCCTTCTCTCAAATTATTTGCAAGCTACAAAAGGACAAGAGGGATGCTAAGTTTGGAGTCTACAGAACTTGACTCGTCATCTGTTCAAGCCAGCAAGAACATTAAGAGCACCCAATAGGATGCTGAGGACAAGGGTCCTCCCAGCAGCTGTTTGAGCAGTGATCAGTGCCATTGGGTTCCTCTCAAATATTTTGCCTACAAATCCTGGATCTGCCAACCTTGGCTTAGATCTGGGACTATTTTTAGAAGCTTGAATAAAAAGCAGTCATCCAGTGGAGTGCTTTTCACTTCCCGTTTTAGACACTGCATCCTTAGTCTGAATCACTGGCTGAGCTGTTCAAGGTCAACACGTATTTCAGTCACACATCATCCCAATTCTACCTTTGCTATGACATCTCACCAGATTCATCCCAAAGCGATGGTGCCTCTTAAGTTAACGAGAATGGTCTGCACCCCCTACTCACCCATCTTTGGAGAGGTGATGCCGGAAGAAGTCATTGGCTGCCAGTTTGATAGCCTTTTCTGGTGTCACTAGAGTCAGGTTCACTGCAGCCCCTGCGCAAGGAGAAGAGGAAAAAGTCACTGGAGAATGAGAATAAAAGGAACCGTTAAATGGATCTTTCAGGAATGCATCGTAACTCCTGCTCAAAGCCATGGACTGATGAAGGAGAGCTCCCAATGCTCCAAAGGGGTTTAGAAATATGAAACACCACTGGAAATTAATAAGATTTCTGCCTCCCAACACCTTGGGGGTTTTTTTTTAAACATCCCCTGATGTGTTCCTACTCTATTTGCAATATATTTTTTGCAATTTCTTTAGCTTCACTACTACCTCCCACCATGCACACACGCATCCTCTACTCTCATCCAAGGATGCATTTGCATGAATCCAGAAGGATGCAGATCAGCCCTTCAAGACAGGAGTACAAGCTGGATTAATAACCATTCCCAACTTCCTTGCAAATATTTCACGGTGCTGAAAAGCAAAAGCCTCACTGTCTTGCTAGTGTCTTGCCTCACCATCACCAAAAGCAGAGCAGCTTGCTTACCAGGCAGCCCGAGAAAGGCTGAGCCACTGAAAGACCTGGAGGCTGGTTGAAGTCAACTGGACAGAAGTCAGCCAGCTCTAGACCAAACTTTGAAGTTAAGGGGCTTCCCTTGTCTATCACCACTGGGTGTCACCCTCTGAACAGCCGCCCTTGAAGTGCCTTTTTGTCCACCACAAGCTGCAGCACACAGAAATTCCCCTGGGAGCAGCATGGTAAGGCTTGCTGGGGGACCTGGGGTGTAAACAAGCCTGAGCTCCCCCACCACTCGCTGGAGTGTCCTTTTGTCAGGAGCAACAAACAGCAAATCCCTCTATTGTGCTGGCCACAATGACAGGTCTGCGCGGTGTGGCTGGCTGCTGTGGGCCATGGACACCAGCATTAGTGCAACGCAGCGGCTGGGAGGTGGCTTTCAAGCTGCCCTGGGGGAAACGGGGTGAGGGGAAGACCAGTCCCTTCTCAGCATACTGGGTTTTGCTCCATTAGATTAATGCTCCAGAATATTCTCCTCCCTTTAAATCTGATAGCTCCAAAAGTCTTCCAGTGGATGAGCACAAGCTCTCCCTGCCTGCACTGAAGCACACTGAGCTCCAACCCCTCCAGAGGAACTTGCTAATGGCCTACAAATGCCTTTGCAAGGACAAACACAACTACGAGGGTACTTCTTTTACTTTTATGCTTGCTGCAGAGATTTAAACAGCTTGTCCCAAAGCTCCATTTTTCAAAGAGAAGCAGACAGAGAAGCCTGCACTCCCACTAGACCCTGAAGACCTGGTGGGGTTCATTTTCAGGAGGTTTGAACACCAGCTGACAGGAGCTATAAGGGCTCAACACACCTAAAGAACGGCAACTCAGTCCTTTGTTCCTCAGGATGGACTCCCCTCCCTCCAAAAATATTAAAGAACTCCTAAAAGAACTCCTAAACTCCTAAAAGAACTCCTAAAGAACTTCCACTCCCTGGAAGTGTTGAATGCCAGGTTGGATTAGTCTTTGAGCAACCTGGTCTAGTGGAAGGTGTCCCTGCTGCTGGCAGGGGGGTTGGAACTGGATGAGCTTTAAGGTCCCTTCCAACCCAAACCAGTCTGTGATTCTAAATAAGACATGGAAAGACATAGGTGTAGCAGGACTTTCCTCAGATCAGAAAGCAAAGTGGCAACTGGGACTTCTGGGACCAGTACAACTGGGACCAGGATAAGGGAATCCTTGGCTCCTCTGCTCAGAGGACACATCCCCATCATGCAGGAAATAGCAGTACAAGAACAGAGCCTTTGCTGGGCAGGGCTGGGCAGCCCAACACATTTTCCCCTCTTCTGACTGACACGTTCAGCTTGTGCAGAAAATCCAGAGTAACGCTGCCTCATAGCAAGCTCAGCCAGTGCATTCATTCCACATTGGCCATGACATCCAGCAAATGCCATCGCCTTCTACAGCAGCCCAATTAACTAGCTGGGGAGCAGGGCAGCCCTCTCACTTCCCTGGGTTTTTGCAAACTTTTAAGTGATTGCGCTGCTTCAGTTTGATGTGCTTCCTCCACATCATGTCCCCCCTGTCACGGCTCTTGCACGTGATGAGAAGCCACACAGACATGACCCTCATGCTCTACCTCCCCTTTTCAATGTCAATAACATCAGGATCTACAAAGCAACTCCACACAGACTGATTGTGAAGTGGAAATGGCTACTGGTGAGGTGTTTCCTGCGATGCCAAGTTGAAGACAACTTCAACCCCACTCCTAATAGCTAGAAAGTAAAACATGTACATTACTGACATGAGGCATGAATAACCATTTCCTTGGAAAAATAAGGAAAGAAAAAAAAATAACAAACACACTAACACCAGTGCAAAGGGTTCATTGAAAGAAAGAAAAGTAACTCCAAACCATGAAGAAAGGGAAGTGGGAAGTACGCTTCCACGCACTGACCTCCCCCAGGAACCAAGAGCTTTTCACAGTAATTTCTCCCTCAGCTGCAAATGAAGCAGAGGGTAAAACCACACAATATACAGAAAAGTCAATGAACCTGGCTTTTCTCCACATCTTTGATATTTTCAGTAAAGCTGCTTAGCAGAGAATGGATAATCCCTGTCCTCAATAATCCAAACCAGCTTCAGTTGACTGGAGGAGGAGAAATTAGATACGTCAGCTGCTGTCTGTGTGCTCTCCACGGCATTTTCTACCTTTACACAAAATCTGACAGCTCTACAATTCTAGTTATGCCAACGCCTCTGCTTCCCTGATTAAAGCTAACCTTGGCTGACAGGCAACGCTACGTGTACCAGAAGCAACGGCAGACAACCAGAATGCAAAAATAAATTGCAGTCATTGAAAAGTATTTTGAAAAGAAGCATGGAAGCACTATAGAGAATGAAATTAAGGAGAGGCAAAACCGGGTTGTTTGCCAACTGAACTTGTAAGTGTCCTCTTCTCACCAAGCCTTGGGGTTTGTTGTTAAAGCAGATTGCTCCTAGAAGCCCTTAGATACCACCAGCAACCTACATAACAGGAGGACTGAGTCATCCCCAGTGGGGCACTGGTACACATGGGAGGTATTATCAGCAGAGGCCAGGGAAGGCAGCCACACTACTGCAGCTAAACTGCAGCTACCATCCAAACATCATCACTAGCAAAGGGCCTTTCTGCAGCCTGACCTAGGCCTTTTGCTCCCACCACCTAGGCTAAATGGCTGGTCTGCAAGCAGCAGTAGGACTTTCCAGGACATGTGCTGGGATCTCTAGGTGCCCTCTGGATGGACAGCACCAGGGAACAGAGAGATCACCTCTCCAAGGTCCCCTTCCACTGATCTAGAAGCCCACAGGCACAATGGATTCATTCACTTGGCGTCATGTCTGAAGGCAGCACACCGTCACCATCCAGCTTTGAAGCATTGCTGCTACCTAGATGTTACAGAAAAAAAGTGAGAAAAAACCCCTCCTCTTCTTCCTCCCCAAAACAAACCCAAGAATCCCTGTAACTTTTGGGGAAGAACTTGAGAGAAGTGTTGGCGTTGCCTTATACATCACTCAACTCACCACGGGCTACTCATACAGAGCAAGGACTGTCCACACGCAGCTCTTCAGAGATGATTTGCAGAAAAGCATCCTACAAGCTCAAGCCTCCCTCCTGCCCACACTGTGGAGCTTTGGTCCACACGTGAAGGAGACCTGAAGTCACGCAGTGGGAAAGGCTGCACCCCAGCAGACCTTCTCTGTCCTCCCACAGAGGCCAAGTGCCCTGCAGGGACAACTGACGCGCTTGGGACTTCTCCACAGGGCACAGCAGCTGCCACTTTAGCACTTTAACACACAATCCTCCCAAATTCAGCTTAAAGGCTGAAAATAATAGCTTGTGAGTCATACAGCAACTTCTGCTGGGGAACTGGGACAGACACAAGGGATCTGGAACCAATCCCACCATCTGATTTCCATCTTCCCCTGTCTGCAAGGCTAAGCTGTCTCTTTACCTTCTTCCCAAAAAAGTATTCACATTCTTCACGAATCTTGGATGTATTTTACTCGCCCATCCTCTCCCTGAGATGGGGGGAAGGGCTGCTCATGTCAGCTCACAGAACTGACGCACAGAGACCAGGACTGCTGTACTTGGAGGACTCACCGTTCCACCCTGGCCATGCTGAAATGTCTATGAATTTCTGGAAGGAGCTGGAGCTATTCCCAAAAGCCGTCTCCAAACCCAGCTCCCCATTTAATAGTCAGAGGTGACAAGTGAATTCAAGCCACTGTCAGCTCCCTGAACAGGTACAGAGAAGGTACAAAGTTAGTGGGACATGGACCAAGCTGACCAGACTCATTACCAAGCGTTGGAACAGGCTGCCCAGGGAAGTGGTGGGGTCACCATCTCTGGAGGGACTTAAAAGACAGGTAGATGTGGTGCTGAGGGACATGGTTTAGTGGGCATGACGGTATTGGGTTGACAGTTGGACTTGATGATCTTAGAGGTCTTTTCCAACCCTAATGATTCTATGGTTATGGCTGGGAAAAGCAAGAGCTTTGCAAAACCGTCTGCACTCTTTGAGATTTCTCCTTGGGAGTGAGACGTGGCCTGGAGATGCACATTCCCTCCACCACCCTACACCTTCCAGAACTGAGCTGTCTCTCTCAAAAGCCCTGATGGGTCAGAAAGTCTTCCCTATAAGTTTCTAGGAACAGCTTCTTCCTGCTGCTCCCCAGCAAGCAGCCTGCCACTGCAGATTTACAGCCAAAGTTAATGCAGGCTCTGTTCCTGGCCAGGAACACAGAAGCAGCCAGCTTCTGGGGAAAAATAAAGGGAGAACATGTCACTGCTAGCACTGAAGATGGAGCTTGCCAGGGTTCCTCGGGGTTATTTGTCTCATTGCCTGCTCCCAGGAAAGCTGGTGTGAAGCAGCCAATCCATCCCCAGCATCCACCCCACTCCCCCGAAACGCCCACCAGCAAGTTGGGCAAGAGACGCTGCCTCAGCAGCCAGCGCCTGCTCCCAGGACAGCCAGCAGCAGCGTCCGTGTTTCCTCAGGAGCTGTGGAAGAAGTGGCAAGAGACTCTACTGCTGCCAACAGCAAGGTGCCAGCATCTCCAGACTCCCACTTGAAAAAACAAAGAGCAAGGACTCACTTAATCAAAGCAGGACTTTAATCCGGCTTTATCAGTGAATGAATGCCACAAAGAATGCTATCTGAACGCCTCCGAGATAAAAACTGCATGTTCAGGCAATTAAATCCCAGTAGGTAAAATTAACCAGAGTTCAGCGTCAACCGGACTGTGCTCAAAGCCAAGAAGGTATTCCACATTTCCCTCTGCTACGAGTAAAGTCAGAATTCAGCCTGCTGTTCCCCTCTCCTCAAAAATCTTTCAAAACTTTCAAGGATTCCGTGTTTAAACTACGAAAGGTATAAAGTCAACTGAGGAACGCCCTGCTGCAACAGACAGCCTAAGCCACAGAGCCGGGAGATTTCCAGCAGGTTAGCAGACAACAACCACACAGTGGAAGCTCCACCATGAGTCAACCTGTGATTTTTTTACCAACCCAAGAGATTTCTTTTTCTGGGGGCAGGTTATTTTTATTTTTTTTTTTTTAATTACAGCTTGTCTTAATACTTGCACAGAGCACTCAGGCATGTTTGAGAGACACCCAGTTTGGGAGACAAGCTACCAACCAGATGAGACAGCAGGCCTGACCACGTTAGTGGTGGGCTGTGACATAAATCCAATCATCAACCACTAAGTAAGACACTCCAAGAAATTTTCTACTGCCCCTCTGACAAAAGTTATCATGCCCAAGCTGGGAAACACACACACACACACACACATACAGTCCTGAAACAAAGTCCAGCAGCTTCATTGAAACTGCTAATCAAGATGAACTTCAAGGTTCAACACCCAAACAGCCACAGGGAGGACTCAAGCCCTCAGTGCTGGAGAGCTGAGCAGACACCCGGTGTGGAGGCGTTTATTTTCAGAAACAGCTGCACCTTTCAGCATTTGAGGATATTGCTAAGTTCTTGCTTTATAAGCCAGAGAATATGGGTTTTTTCCTCCCACTTACGCCCCAGTGCTTCCAACGCAGAAGCTGCGCCGCGCCTGACTCAGCTCCACTTACCTCTATACATGCCAAAGTAGCCTTCTGAGCGAATTGTTTTAATGAGGCAGTCAGACCTGCAAACAAAACAGAGAGAGATAAACCACGGGAGCTCAAAGGTGGGTGAGGGCAGAGAAAAACAAAACAAATCTCTTGGAGTGGTTTTCATTTACAATCAGTCAGCAAAAGCCTGGGTTGAGAAGGGAAGGCAGCTGCTGAATGAGCCATTGTTCAGGCCTGAGTCCAACTTCAGCCCCTAATTCACAGTGGCTTTGAAACCCTGGGCTCACCCCGCACACGAGCGCTGTCTGCTTTCTAGAAACACAAAAGGGAAAAGTGTCACTGTGAGGGCTGTTTATCCAGGGGGCAAATGTGCATGAGATGCTCTAACAAGCAGATCCCCACGCACACGTTTTTAAATCCAGCTCTGGAAGGGAAACAAGGGGGATCAAACCCGCCCATGATGACTTGTTTGATTTACTCCATGAAATTCAACACAAGTCACACAAACACGAGATGACCTGAGCGCTCGGTCAGCTGTGACCTCCCACGCAGATGAAAGCATTTCCTTTTAACACGTGGGGTCCCACAGCAGGCAGCCAGCACGCCAGCTCTCACCCCAGGCAGGGCCCGGCAGAGCGCTGCGGAGGTTCACTCCAAGGGGAAAAACTGTCGCTGTTTTTGTTTCAACTGCATTTACTGCAGATGGGAAACCTGTGCAGAGCGCTGGAATGGCTCAAGGCACAGATACACACCTCCCAAATCCAGAGGCGCACTTCAGGAAGGCAGTGCAGATCCCCTGGCAGAGTTTCCCTCCCTGGACCATGGCTCCATGAAGCCGGGTGCTGGCTGAAGGTTGCTTTGGGGTCTTTGGGTCTTTGGCCATGGCCAGAGGGGAAGGGAGAGGAGCACGTGCACGTGTGTGTACGTAATTAAGGGACAAAAACCTTTTAAGTAGTAATAAGGGAAGTGTAGCTCATGAAAACTCATTTGCGGTTGGAACTAGATGATCTTTAAGGTCCTTTCCAACCCAAACCATTCTGTGATTCTAAAACAAGAATACATTTCTAAGAGATTTAGCAACACAAGGAGTAAACTTCATCTCCGCTCTGTAGTAGTGCTGAGGTGCAAGAGAAGGAAATAAGAGTTCCCTCAAAGGCTTTAGGGTCCTACTTGGGTCAAGACTGTTCTAGGGTACCCCACGTTATTTGTGAAGAGCCCACCCTGCATCACTGCCAGTCACAGCAATGAGTTTCCCCTCTCTGCTGGGACTCCCCCCATCCTTTGGGACCCCGTCTTTCACACACCCCACCCCAGCTCCTGTAGCTTGCACGCACCCAGCTCGTTCTTGGGAGCAGCCTCCCCAACACATTTGCAAGCCCCAGAAATCTCAAGGCACCTTTCTCCTATCCCTGCCATCAAGTTCCTCCACCGCAATGCTGGAGGCAAAGCACCTTCCCTGAGCCAGGGGTGCTGCTTTGAACAAGCCATGGCAGAGAGGAGAGCAGGAAGAGCTGCTCCCCACCCTGCTCACACAGCCCTGCTGCCTCACCATAAGGCTGGCACGTCTCTCCCAGCCCCTCGAACTGCAGCAGAGTGAGATGGAGCCAAGGCCATGCCCAGCTCCTTTCCCTAGAAAAAGCAACCCAACAGCCAACTAAAATTTTACACATACCTGGGGCAGCACAGCCCAAAATCCCAGCTCTCTCTCCAGCCCTCAGTGTCTTTGGTTCTTTCAAGGGAAAGGTTCCCCTGATGCCAAAGGTCTCTCGAGCTGAGCAGAAGCAAGGCATGCTGGTTTAAAGCAAGACAGCCAAAATTTTAAATTAATTTGCTGCCTTCCTGGGTGTTCAGCAGACACTTTTGTGATCTGGTATCAATGGGCATACAGTATTTCCCAAAAAATAAGCTCCTGTAACCAGGGAGCTCAGACAAGCCCTCCCAAATCCCTAGCTGACGGAAGGGTGTCTCTGAAGACATGTTCCATGCATGGTAACAATGTCCTCTTCGTGCCTTTCCTTTGCTTGCTTAGGTAGGACACAGGATGGCCTGATGTTAAGCAAAGATGTGTTATCCACATTACTTCTTGTCCCTGCTGGCCCCTTGGCCCACAAAGACCCTTTCACTCATCCCCACCAGCCCCAGCTCACTTGCCCTATGGCTGCTGCCAATGCCAGAGGAACACTTCCAGCATTACTCATTCACATCCAGGCTTTGTCACAGACTCTTAGGAGGAGCCAGCTCAAATATACAGGGTAAATCCTGTGTACTCCTTAACAGTGCCTCATCCCACAACAGCTCCTGGCTATGGAGCAGATCTGCATTGGAGATTAAAACTGCTGGAGGTTAAAAGCCTCTCTCCTACTGAGCCCTGTTCCAGAGATGAGGCATTCTGGCATGGACTCCCCAAGGGGAGCCTACAAATCCTCCTCCCTGCCCAAACTCCTCTTGCTGTTGCCTATCAGGTCAGGGGGAGGAGCGATTCTCAGGGAGAAGCAATCTGCAGCAGCAGGAGCAGAACACAACAAAAAGGAGAGGTGAGGCAAGATGGGAGGCTGTGTCCTGCCAGCACACCTGGGCACAGGAACAATGCAGGGAGCAGAGAGAGTGTGACTGCCAGGGGACACACCAGTCTGCTGTGGCACGCCAGAGCCTACAACATCATTACATGTCATCAGCTAGAGCAAGGAGACCTGGAGACTAAAACCATCAACATACAGAACGTTTCCTTCCTATTCCCACTCTGCCTCAAATTCTCCTGGGTAGGAAAGAGGGAAGTACTGGTGTGGAAGAGCAGGTAACGTTACTTCTGAATAAAGTGGCAGGAGGACAGGACACACACCAACAGTCCCAGTCCCTCCTCCCCCCTCAATGACACCAGTACTTTTGGAAAACTAAGGCCTGGCTGGTTCCTAGGATAAAGCATCCAGTGCTGAGCGTGGTGCACATTCCCACAGCAGATACTCAGCCCCAAGCATCCCACACAAATCCCAGGTGACTCTGGTGGGCTGGATATATTCATGCCTTCTTTTCTTTGGTTTTTATGGACACAAGATTGCTGAGGGAACTACAGCAAGTGTCAACCTGTGATCCTTCAGAAGGCTGGCATGTAGTGCTCTACACTGGGAACGGGTGACTGCTGCCTCTTTTTAAAATTGATACAGTAAAGGAAGGGACAGGAATCTCCAGTATGAGAATCCTGGGAAAAGAAGAGGGGCAGAAATTCCCTCCTGCACCTGATCGTGGCCCAGCAGAGAACCAAACAGGGCTCCTTGTGTTTTGGTCCTGAACCCTGAGAGCAGCAAACACGCTGCTCCCAGGTAAGCAATGCAGACAGACGAGCCCTCTGCGGAGATCTCACCCGCTGGGCTCAGCAGCCTGAAGAGCTGCTTTATTTGCTTTATCTGCTCTAGCACAGCTTAGTTCAAGATTGTCCCCTGGCTTTCCTGAGGACAGCCCAGTTCCTAGAAATGCTGAACTCACCTGAAAGAGGAAACAAAGTGGAAGGACACCCTGCCAGGTGGTACTCACATGCTGGTATACAGCCGCTGGCCATTCTGCTGGTTCTGCAGGCGAGTTTTTGCCAGGTCAATGGGAAATACGCAGGTGACCCCAATCAGCCCAGCTATCCCTCCATTGATCAGCTTGGCAGGTAAACTGCAAGGGGACGAGATGCAGAGAAACAGATGTCATAGCACTGGGATAACGTCAGGGGAGGGAAAGAAGAGAGAAGGGAGCTCTTTTGCATGGCCAGAGTTGACATATCGCTGTGTGACAAAGCTGTGTCCCCCCCAGCATGAAGGGAGCTCTGCCTCGAGGCAAAGCTGGGCCCTTGCTGTGCATCGAGGGGAGAGCAGCACGTAGCATCAGGAGAAACCACTGATGAGTGGAGTGGAGCCAAACAGCTACACCACACATCCCTAAGAGCAAGGACAAACCCTAGTCCCCAGGACCCAAGGGTTTCTCCTGTCCCTAGAGGAGAAAAGACAAGAGTGCTGGACCATCTACCACGTGGCCAGTTAGGGCCTGATGACATCCAAGCCAGCAGGTTTACTGACAAATGCTTGTCAGCACCGCAATAAGATACACATCTAATGAGAGGTTCGTGACATGTCAGCTGCTACCACGATGTGGGAATGAGCCCAGCAGAAGCACCCAGCTGGCAGCTGAGGAGCAGACAGATCCAGCTCCAGGAAACCATATCCAGACCCACCACCCCGGGCAAGGGGAACACACACAAACCAAGAGCCCGGCGAAACCACCAGGCTGGCAGCTGCACGGCCACAGCTGCAGAGACGTGAGCTCATACCTCTCAGGGAAATCAAAACCTGGCTGGCTGCATGTGCTGCTAAAACGTGGGGCTTTTTCCGCTCGCCTTTGTGCTCCCACAGGGAATTCTTGCAAGTGGTGCTGAGTGAAAGCCAGATCAGCTAAACATGGGTTCCCAGCAAATTCAATTATGAAAAATGCCCAGCACTTATATGCTCAATAAACCACTACACACAGAGACAAATGAAGCCTGTTTGAGTGAGCTCCCTCCAGCAAAGCACAGGATATGGCTCCCTGCACACAGAATGTGTTGGATATTAAAGTGACGGCTGACAGCAGTTCTAGATGGCAGCTGGGTGAGCCACGAGGCTGAGTCCTCCCCCAGAGGGAACAGGCACACTGCCTTTCGTAACGGTGACATGATGCTCTGAGCCTGGCCATGGCACAGTGGGGTGAAGCTCTGCAAACACATTCCCTCCCAGCAGCACTGCAGAGTGCTCTGCATCGAGGAGCAGAGAGGAGCAATAAACAGCCACGCTCTCCAGAAAGAGCTGCCTCAGCTCCCAGCTCGAGAGAAAAACAGGATATGGAGAGTCAAGGTTTCAACTTAAAGTCTCCCTGAGGGTAAGAGACAAAAAGAGGGGCAGAAAAAAAACCTAAGAATCTTTGCCCGCAAGTGCTAAGAATGATCTAAACACTCCAGGAAACTCCTTGAAGCCTCCGCTCTCCTGCAGCTGGAGCTCCTTCCTCGCCAACACCAGCACTGATACAACACATGAACACAGCCCCAGGGCTGGCACAGCTGGAAGAAAAGGTGCCAAGGACAGTCAGACGGACCTGAGCTCAGCCCACATCCCCAAACAAGACGGTGCTGACTGAGATTAAATCAAGCACAGCACGTTAGGAAGGCAGGCCCAAATCAGGGCATGAGCTCAGCTCAGGGACAGACTGCAAGATCTCACCAGCTCAAGACTGTTGCCTCGGGGATCTTTGCACCACAGTCTGAGAAGGGAATAGATTTGCCCGCAAACTCCTACACTCAGGACATGGGAAAATTTCAAACAGGAAGTTTCACATCATGGCACTCTCCTTATTTAACCTGTAGTCATGATGAGAGAGGAGGTTAGAGACCAGATAAAAGCATGTCAAGATGGAGGCACCACTGGGAAGGAGGGTGTTTGAAGACAGGATTACATCAGCCTCCCCAAATTCAGCTCCAAAGTCACTGCTGGCAGGTCACAGACTGCAAGGCACAACCAGTGGCCCTTTCCAGCCTCAGCACTGTCATTGCTTCTCTGAGTGTCCCTGAAACAGCCGGGGCAGGCAGACACTTGCTCCTCTCAGCCTATTCCGACAGTGAAATCATCACAACGTTTGTATGAGGTGGGAATGAGACATAGACACGTGGCAAACATTTTGCCTGCTGGCACTGTAAGTGCAAAAGATTCCTCAGTTTCAGCACAGACCCCAGTGATAAAGGGGAATAATTTTATGTGCCTGGGCAAGCCAAAAACTTAGGCAACGTGGGCTGCAGAGAGCCTCTCACTCTGTGGGTGAGAAACCTCTGCTCAACACCCTCATCACACCTGAGTCCACCCATCCAGGTTCCCCCACACGCACTGCGCAGAGAGACCGGCGCTGGCAGACTGTGCGGCGGTATCTGGTGAGACACCCGGATCAGGCTCCACGTGCACTGCTGCAGAAATGCAATGACCTCAATCCCACCTTGCAGCAAACCACTGAGGAGGATTTTAGTCTTTTGGTATCAATCTCGTTTGGCTAAGAGGTGATGGATGCATGCTGCAAGGGAACAGGGGTTTGGTAGATCCTCCAAGATTAAATAGATCTCCTTGGCTTGGCTGCCTGTGACCGCTGCAGACATGTGGTCACACAGATGGGAGAGATGACCTAAGCAGGAGAGGTGAGGGATTTGGGGCACAGAGAAGAACCTGAGACAGATGGCACTGCACTTGAATCAAAAGCTTGGTCCCTTGTGACTAAGTCATCCCACTTTTCACCTCAGTGCTCTCTGTTCTCTCATGGGATGAGAATCCACTGTGCATGGTCTCTCTGTCCTCGTTAGCTTCTGCCTCTCACTACCTAGGTGCACAGGGCTTAGTGAAACAGGGACAACTCAACCTAGCATACAAACAAAGTCATTTACTCAATTTAACACAAGAAGGGATAGAAAGGTAACTCAGTTCTCCTAGTGTTCCTCCTCAGGCCTTTTAACCAGTCCCTGTAGCCAGCAAGCTTCTGTTCACACTGCCAAGAGCACACCAGAGGGGCTGAGGGGGATCTTGGGGGACATGTCTCCCCTTCCTTCAACACACCAAGCTTCAAATGGCCACAGACATCTGGTCCTTTTGCTCTGCTGAGGCTATTGGGGACATACACACCCACCAGGCTCCATGGAGGTGAATCTCAGCGTGCCCTCCGTGTGTGTAAGAGGAGTGCCAAGTGCTCTGCAGACCGGGTAACTGATAACAGGCAAATCTGGGCACAGAAATGCTCCACAACGCTGTCTCGTTATCAGGGCAGCGCAGGACTGCTTTCATCTGCAGGAGGCAGACACACAGGAAGACATCCTCATCATGGCAAACACTAAGAAGGGGTCTGTAGCATTCAGGCATTGCCAAGTCCTGGCCCTCTGTCACCAGGTTTCAGTCACCCACTGACCAGCTGGTAACCTGGAAAAGCAGCTGTTAGAAGAGGACCACAAAAGCCCCCAGAGGAATCCCACAGCATGCAGGAGTCATGTATCTGGGGCAACTTCACAAGCAGCAGAAAGTTAAACCCATGGGCAGGACTGAGCAGATCCATCTGACAACAGTTCTTGGGAAACTAAGGGTACAACTCTACCTTTCCAGAAAATACAACCCAATTCCTTCCCAGGGAGGACTTAAATCCAACCTTCACATATGGCAGGACCAACGCTCTTAAGTTCCTGCTGTGCACTTAAGTGTCACTAATTATTGTTGGTAGTTCATGTTCCTGCAATCACTCAAGCATTGATTAGCTTTAGGAGAAGGGCACAAGGCTGCATCTACCTGGACTTTGTAATTACAAGGACTGCATCCTCAGCTGGACGGGAGCTGGCTTTGCTCCCTTGATGTCAGCAAGCTGAAGTCAGCAGGTCAAGCTGACCTTTGAAAGAGGAAGCAAAAAGGAACAGACTCGTGCAGGGTAAAAAGCAGAGAGCATTAAAAAAAAAAAAAAAAAAAAGGCAGTGAGGAAAAGAACTGAAGAAAGCAGTGACCAAAAGCAGACAACGTGGCAAAGACAAAATAAGAGGAGGTTGAAAAAAAGCCAGTAAGAAAGGAGGAGAGAAGGAATGAGAACTGTTTAAGGCCAAAAGGGATAATCAGGTGATTTCCTCAAACCTCGTGTATCACAAAAGGGATTAAGTTTGAACAACTTTCAAAGAAAAATCCAAAGCACAACAAATAATTCAGAATTTTTTTAAAAAAGTTACCTGATCTGTTTATCAGCCATTTAATTCAAACTTGATCTTGTTAAGAAATGAATTTGATCCTTCAAATCGTTCCTTAACTTCTTTTTCAGTAACTTCTTTTTCACTTCTGTTTCTTCCTGGGAAAGGAGAGAAAGGAGACAAAGCTGAGACATTTACACTCTTCCTGAAGCTCAGGGCCTACTGGGCAGGCTGCAGGGCGAGGCCAGCTGAGGAACAAGTGACTTCAGGAAGCACCTGGTCTCCTCAGAGGGGAGACTGAGCTCCCACAAGCTCCAGCCTTATAAATGTGTGTGTGTATATAAATACATAAGCACATATGGAGGGAAGAGCTGCCAGTCGCCAGGCTCCAGCAGCACATGAGGAAGCGCAGCAGCCCGGCAGCACATGAGCTCTGCCCAGCATCCAGGACAGTGGTATCCGTCACAGCTCCCTCAAAGTGCAGGGAGCATTTCACACTGCAACATAGAATCACAGAATCCCAGACTGG